AAGGGGTTAGAAAATGGATGGATGGACTTGAATTTCACGTATTCTTCCTCAGCAGATGGGGCTTGCACACCACAGGAAACCCGAAATCATTTGCGGTTCTGAATCGGCTTTCATTGGAGTCACCGTTTTTCACTACAAGTAAATCGAGGAGAAGAAACTGCCGTCGCCTCATCCAGCGGGCTTGTTGTGTTTCCCAGTGGAGCAAAACGCCGTCACGTTGAATGAAAAGTCCACTGAGATACAGGCTCGGCTTTGGAACTTGGAAAGATCATCTCCTCACGCCAGGCTGACAGCCGGATCGCCTGTCCGGTCTCCCTACGGCACACCCTGGGCCGGAGCAGAGTCCGGTCTCCCTACGGCACACCCTGGGCCGGAGCAGAGTCCGGTCTCCCTACGGCACACCCTGGGCCGGAGCAGACGGGCGGGGGTGGGGGAGGCACTCACCGGGACCACCAGCAGTGTGGACAGGAAGTTGTTGATGAACTCCAGGAGGAAACCTTCGGAGGACCTCAGCTTCCCGTCCACGCTGAGCGAGCGCGGCACCTCGGGCAGCAGGCTGACGGAGGCCTTCAGGAAGGCATCGGCTGCTCCGGGGAGGGGGGACAGGAGAGACGAGACGGGGGGGTGAGCCTGCTGTAAGACGCGGCTCAGGACCGCACCTTCACAAGGTGGTCACTCCTATACTGGCCACAGTGCCTGCTGATCTGCTGCTTGAGGGACTTCCCTGGTCAGTGGTCAGCACCCTTCACACTGACCCTTTCTCTCTCTGTACACCATCCTGCAGAGCTCCCACAGTGCCCAGAAAGAAATAATATTAATGAACAATTCCTTACACTTATATAGTGCTTTTCTGGACTCTCCACTCAAAGCGCTTTACAGATAAAGGGGACCCCCCCCCCTCTCCCCCCGTGTGTGGCGCCCCCTGTGTGTTGTGTGGGGGGCGCTATTGTGCCTGTGTACTCTCTCCACACCAGCTATCAGCTATCAGTGGGGAGGAGAGCAGAGTAATGAAGCAGGTCATAGATGGGGCTTACTAGGAGGCCATGATTGGTAAAGTCCTGGGGGAAATTTGGCCAGGACACTGGGGTTACACCCCTACTCTTTTCGAGAAACGCCCTAGGAGTTTTAATGACCACAGAGTCAGGACCCCGATTTTACGTCTTCGCTTTCTACATTTGGCAAGGGGTCAAAAATCTTTCATCCTATTGCTTCTTTGTACTAATCCGTGAATACCAATTCACACATCTCGTTGTGTCGAATTTTCATAAAAAGAACATTTATAAAAAGAGCAATGGGTGCACTTCCTAAAGCTATACAAAATGTTAACCCGTGGTCCTGTGTCGCTCTCCTGCGTTACCCAGTGGGCTCTACTTACCCTGGGAAAGACACTGGTTGGCCAGCGCCACCTGTCCGGAGAGCAGGTAGAGGTTGAGCCGACTGAAGATGCTGGTGAGGGAAGGGATGGTGATGAAGCTGTAGGCAGCACAGGCCTGCGGAGACAAGCAGCCACTGACTGTCAGCATGGAGCCTCGGCCCAGTTAAAAAAGCAGTGGCAATTTCCTGGCACAAACAACACGTCTGATCTAAATTAAACTAACTTCGGTCCTGCAAACCAGCTGAGCTGCACATGCACAAATGAATGCATAAACGCTCTTTTTTTTCAGCCCGTTCCGCGGCGAGACCCCAGAAGCCACCCCCCGGCCCAGCCGTACGCGGCACCAACCCTGACGAAGGCTGCAGTCTTGCGGGAGTGGTTCCCTCTCATCACGCGGCGCGTCTCCATGGCCAGCTGGTTCACCGTCTGCGGACAGAGGGCAACGCCGTCACATGCGCACAGAGGTGTACACGCACGCACAGAGGTGTGCACGCGCGCACAGAGGTGTACACGCGCGCACAGAGGTGTACACGCACACACTGCTACACGCACGCTCTCTCTGTACCCATGGAAGCACAGGCAGAAAAATACTAAGACGGGATTTTCAAATCTGCATGTACAGAGCTTTACACTAATTAATACAAAGGTCTCGTCACAAGGACTTTTCACAATTTTGCATCTTCTAAAAATGCTAAATACGAGTAAATTACTTGAGCTCAGAGGCTCAACATGCTATAGCTTATCCCATCTTAATTCTGGTGGCATTAAGAGGACTGAAACATGTAGTATTCCACATATTCCCACAACAGGCACAGCTGGTGGACATGCCGGGA